TCTCTCTCTCTCTCTCTCTCTCTCTCTCTCTCTCTCTCTCTCTCTCTCTCTCTCTCTCTCTCTGTGATGTGGGCTATGCAGAAATTATAGGGCAAGTGGTTTTAGTAGGTCTGCTTCCCTGCTCTTCAATGTGTAGCCTTGATATTTTTTTCATGCTCTCTCATTGCTTTTTTTAAAAAAGCATTGACCTCTTTTATGAATGATGGGAGATTCATAAATAAATGAGGGAGGGAGAAAATAGTAAAAATGATGCCCATTACTGATGTTACATGGTGACATGTGCTGTAAATTGTTATCATCAACAATCAAAATGTGAAAATCATATTTCTTTCGGAATGGAAGGCTGGTATGAAGGTATTAGAGTGAATGGGTACCCAAGAGTGCCAGTTAACATGGAATGACAGCTGCAATGTTTGCTTGCAGCTGGTTGTGAAAAACTCTGATTGGCACCAAGAGCTGATTGTCTGGAGGCATCTATGGTGGCATCAATGATGTGGCTCTACTCGAGGCGAGGGATGAGAATTGTGGTACTGGGGTTGTCAAGGAAGGAATCCTTATCTCCTGAACTTCCTGGAATAAACTCTGTCTCTTGCAGACTGCCAGCCTAATGGCACAATTGTAGTCTCGGCTCGGACGTTGGTTGGCATGCCAGACTTGGACCTCTCCAATTTAGTGCTGAGAGACAAACGCTGTAAACCAGCTTCTGTGACAAAGGCAGGAGCAGTTTTCCTCTTCAGTGTAAACTCTTGTGGCACAACTCGCAAGGTGAGAGATTACTGGGGGAAGGTTTCCCCCTCTTCAAGAAGGTCTGGAAAAGATGTTGCCAAGTAGAATAGGATATATCCACTGACCAGTCCGTCTATACTCTGGCTGGGTTGGGTTGATTTTTCCCAATGGGAAAGCCAGGTTGGGAATACAGATTTATATCCATCCAATAGGACATGCATCAACATTTGTACTCGTAATACAGCTTTATAAGTGACAACTAGAGGAAAAGCTTATTTTTACTATGGTATTGGCACTTTCCTATTTCACATGGGGTGATAAAGGGGATGAGGGAAAGGTCCAACATGGGCCTTTGACCAACCAGGGCAGAGATCCAATTTCTACTTGGAATGCTTCATTCCATTCTTCTTTACAGTTTGAAAACACCATCATGACTTATGAAAATGAGGTCCTGTATTTCCTCCCAGGCCAAGCAACACCCGTTTACCAGTGAGTATTTGTGACTTAAGAACTGAAGCCAACTTGACCCTGCCTTGTATGGTTTCCAAACATGCTGTCATGGCAGTTCTCAGAATTCCCAGGTTGGGGAGAATTTGAGTTAAAGAACTGTTATGAGGAGGGATCCTTTCATTCAGGAAGAATTGCTTTGGCACCCACTATTCTAAAATATCAAGAGATAAAAAGTGGGTACAATAGTATAGGGTGATTTGGAACCCATCTGGGGAGACTCTGCAGCAGGGGTGGGTTCCTGCCAGTTCTAACCTCTTCTATAGAAGAGGTTCCACAAATCTACAGTGCCGTTTAGAACCAGCTCCATCCCCCCCGCATCCACACACATCATCAAGATGGAGAGCGAGAGGAGGAATTCTGGGAATTGAAGTCCACAAGTCTTAAAGCTGTCAAGTTTGAACACCCCTGGGGTTTTTTTTCCCTAAAGGGTTAGGGGTGCAAGGGTCTTGTAACTTGACAGCTTTAAGACTTTCGTGATTCAAATGCCAGAGTTCCTAAGCCAACATGACTGGAAAAGGAATTCTGGGAGTTGAAGTCCACAAGTCTTAAAGCTGTCAAGTTTGAACACCCCTGGGGTTTTTTTTCTCCTAAAGGGTTAGGGGTACAAGGGTCTTGTAACTTGACAGCTTTAAGACTTGTGGACTTCAAATCCCAGAATTCCTCCTCTC